GTACTGAAATTTAAAGAGCCCTTTTAACCTGCATGCTAGGATTAAATGAGAACAGGCTTCTGCTGGTTTTCTATCACAGATGAATGATTACCGGTTGGTGCTGGGATAATAAAGTAATTTAATTTTGGATGTTGATTAACATATTAATTCAGATGCTGGGATCCTTTTCTATCCAGGTCAGTTCATGAGGATTTGGTGAGATGAATTTCCTAAGCCAACAAGGAAAATGTTTGCCCAAGAACAGGGGAACAGCAGTGTGCTGTTGCTTACAAGTGTTTTCCATTTTGACTTGAATCACTTCATCAGTACCAGAATAAACTTCTTAGCCTTTAGTCTGTGCTATTAGATCTGAGACACTTAAAAGGAGTCAGAGGGCCCTTTCCTGCTGTCTTGCTTCATACGTAAGGGTCTCCAATGCCTCTCTCATGGGAGAAGAGGAAAAAGGGGAGACCAAATTCCCATGCCTAAATTCTTGTTCTTGAAAAAAGTCTCTGTAGTCGATTCATATGGATCCTACCATGCCCTTCACATAGTGATCTCTTTCCAGAAGCAGCTCCATTTAGGTATTTGAACACTTAATATATGTTCTGCTAGTGGGACTTGTTGCAGTATAGGGTCATGTTCAGTGGGAGTCAAGGTGGCCAGCCAGCCTACCTTACCTAAAATCTTCACAGCACCAGTGTCTCAGAGATTAAGGATATTTTATCAGTGCATGTGAGAAATGGCAACACTTTTTTAGTAATGTTTTTGCTAAACAAGATGATTTTCTATGGAGTGTTTTTCTGCTTCTTGCACCCAGCATAACAAGGGTGGAATGGTTTTTGACCAGACATTTGTGGAGCCATTCTTTTGTTCTTATCTCTCCAACAAGCAGCTCTGGAGTTAAGGCAGCTGTTGAGAGAGAAGTGTTAAGATTAGACTGTGTTTAAAAATGTTTTATGTACTTTACATTGATTTGTTTTAATTGCCTAAAATGTAAGTGAATTGTTATGGATAGATGGAAGTGCATATAAAGTCCCTGTAGAAGACAGGGACCCAAACATTCTGTACTTTTGCTGGGATGACACCAAATTAATCTTTCTTTGTGGAATGATTTATAAGGGTTACTATGTAGAATTGTCTACCCCATCACACTTTCAAACCTTGAATATGTAACTTTTAGCAGAGTTTCTAGCAGGGCTATTATAAACTGCAAAGCAAAGAAGCCAAAGAGTGTCCATAGATGTATCTAATCCAAGCCTTTGCTAAATAATTTTTATTTAATAATAGACAATAGACTCAGCAGAGACACAACAGATCATAAGCCACAACTTTCAGTAGATTTTTAGTTAGTGAGAGGAAAATAGTCTTTAACTATTGAGAATATCTGCTATGTAGCTTAGCTTGTGGCTCTCAAAGTCTGCGGTTAGCACTTCATTCTCAGGTATCTCTGTAATGCTGTCTAGCACTGCAGAGCTATAGCAGAAGGTTTGGAGATAACATGCACCATGCTCTCCTTTTCCTTCCCCTGACTTTTCTTTGGTTGTCTTTTCATGAGGCTGAAATCATCAATTCTCCAATCACCTACTTTACTTGTCAAGTCTATTTTAAGAAAAAGTGTCTTTTCACCAAGTTAAGAGGTATCATATTCACAATGGCATCTTCCCATTGTTTTAAAAGCTGGAATCAGAGAGCTCTGTTATTGACAGAAGGAAATAAAATAATGCCAGTAAGAGCAATCCAATAGAGTCTGAGGCTGGCAACAACTCTTAACCTGTGAATCACTTGGAGCAGTAGCCTTGAGTCCCTCCTGCTAGCTGACAGGTTGCTGTTCAGAAATAGCCAACTCTGATCTTGATTCAGTGAAGGTCATGTTACTGATTCCTGATATACAGAAGTGCAATTAAGAGAAGAATCAGGCCCAAAACCTCAGAGGACAGGGTCCAGTTGGGTAAGGTGCCAGTTCTAGGCACCTTTTATCTCCTAACTTGTATAAGGTGCATTCCTACTCCCAGGCTTATGTGGTGGTATTTCTGAACCACCACAGCTATTAAAATGCAATGGTACAACAGCAAGTCCAGGCAAGACCATCACAGGATAGGGGTGGCTTTTTGTTCTGCACGATGGAATTCACAACTGAACCAGGGTAAGAACATGCAGTGTATGTAATTAGACTTCAGGACAATGTTTCTATCTGTGTCTCCACAGATATAAGCAGGACATCTGAAAGTCCCTGTGTAAAAAAATTTAGTTTTATTTTAAAAACATAGCATTTTGCCTTATGAAGATATGTGTATGGAAAGGTTGGTCAAGCAGCCTGTCAGTCAGAAGACTCCCTTCATCTCCTACCCCAAACCAGTTTCCATAGCTGCCTCTATCCAAGTTCTCAATAAATGTCTTAGTCACAGCCAAGTGACTGCAGTCCAAGAAGGCAGGTAGCAAAGTGAGAAATGCTCTTCCATAAAGAAAGGCATATCAGAATAAGCTGCTTATCACAAATTCCTTCTAAAACATCCCAACTGCAACAGACAAATATCATATTGGCAATACCATAATGTTTGCATTCACACACCAGCTGTTCTCTTTCCCACAGGATCTTGTTTTTTAAAAGGCTGGTGAAGGACATTTTTCTTAAGCAACAGATGTAGTCTTATTTCCTATACTGGCTGTATCTAGTTTTGCTTTGGGATTTTGGATTTTCCTTTATTTTTGTTGTCTATGTGCTAACATATACTGGATTCTCTTTCCAGAATATTTTTGACAGGCCGACAATAAAGTGGGTAAACCCTGTAATTTAAAGTGATGCATACTTCTATTACAGATTAATGGACTGTGGGTTTTTTAAACTTCATGTATGACTGAGTGCTGGAGTAATTGGCACACTGAATTTATGAATGTCTGTTAATGAATAAACTTTGGTAACTGAAACTGAAATAGCAAAGCTATTCCTGGACCAGAAAGGCTGGTAGATTTTTGGCCTGTAATAAATTGAACACATAACACAAAGCGGGAGAGGGGAAAAAAAAACAAACATTGCTTAGAGTAATTTCTGAGCAGGAATTACTGAATTTTTTTATTGTTTTGAAAATGAATTCAGTACATAAAACAATTTGGCTTCAACTTGTCTCTGTAATTTAATTAAAGCATTTTCGAATTTCCTTAAATCTTAATTTCAGGATAACTAGACTTCCAGAAATACCTTTTCTGTACAATATGACATAATCATATATATACATAAGTATATAATTTATAATAGTATAAACACTTACATTAGAACCTGAAGGGACTGGTTTATTAAGGTTTTGAATGCCCAGGACTTTAATTGATGCGCTGACAATCTGTAAGCACTCACATGTGTTGTGTGATGCATAAATGTGCATCATAGAACAGAATTAGCAAGACAAGTGTGTATCGATTTCAGTTGATCAAACAGTCCAAAGGAAAGACCCTCAGATGCTTTAATACCAGGGCCATAGGAAACTCAACCCTGAAAAGGCTTTTTTTCTTTTTTCTTTTTTATTTTATTAAATTTTTCCTTTTTCCCTCTAGCTTATTTATGGACAGCATTCTAGAGGATTTGTGTTTTTTAATCTTGTGGTTTTTTGGTTTGTTTATTTTTTTAAATTTCTATGTTTCAACATGGTTTAACTAAAGAGCTTATTTCATTTTACATATGTTTCCTTTTAGTCCACCCCACTATATTGTGCCCTGCCACTTTACACTTCTGACTAAATAAGAGGAGAAAGGATAGCTCTGAAGTATTGGGTGTTGTGCATCACTTTCCAGATATTAGTGATTTAAGTTATTTCTAGACCTTCTTTCTTGGTTTACTTAGTAGATAAACATTAATGCTTTGTTACAATCTTGCTGTCTTTGATTTTCTATGGAAAAGTGAGGATATTCCAATCTTTATGCCTGGAAAGACTTTAGTGTTCAAAAAAGGAAAGAGACTGCTAGCTAGAAAAGTCTGGCCAGTATCAACGGTACTGTGATTCAGAAAATAATAAGTATTACACCAGCAACGTATATGTAAATCATGTATGTTCTTTCATGTTAAACTATAAGATGAGATTTTGGTAAAATACAGAAATGCAGAAGTAAGAGCCATGAAGCTGAAATGAAGTCTAAGACTGATAAGCAAGTTCAGGTCATGAAAGAAGGTTTTTTCCAATTGTATGTGCCTGACATCTATCACTTGCTACAGCAGGCTGCATTGTGCATGGAAATACAGAAGAGCTTCTACCTTCCAATTTTATTTTTGTCCATTTAATAGAAGCACTGCAAGGAGAAATGGACCAGAAACAATTCTTTAAGTCTAAAACTGTTCCTTCTCTTACCTCAGTCTTAGTTAGAAACTGAACACATCTAAAACAGAGTAAAAATTCAGGTAGTCGATAATGGATGTAACAGCAAAAAACTCCCCACATGACCTTTGGCTTTCATTTAGATTCTGCAAGGGAAGGATGTTGAAAACAACATGAAAGAAAAACAAAGTTGGGAAGGAAGGTGATTTTTTTTTTCTTTGCTTTCAGTGACTTTAGACATAGCAGACTGATAGGGTGAGCCCTCCTTGAAAAAGTGTCTCATGATTTCTCAAGATAACATAGCTAAGCAGTGAATGCATCCCATGGAACTCACTTTAACCTGCAATCTGAGGATGGGGAGGGGGCGAGGTGGGAATATTTACCCGGGCAAATTCAAGTGCAGCATTCCCAGCCGCCACTAGTTGTCACTTTGCAACCAGTCGGTGTCGGTGTTTTCAGCACTGCGGTTAGCGAGATTGCGGTGCTAATTAAACGGAGTAACTCCCAAAGCCGCGGAAAGTCCCGAGCCAGGGGTTGTGCGATTGCCTGTCTCGGGGAGCTGAGAGGAGCTAAAAAGGCAGCTCGAGAAAGGCGGGACGCCGCTGTGGTAGGGATGAGGCTGTGCCTAGGGGCTGTGCCCCGAGCTTGGGGTGGGCACAGCAGCCCAGCCCGGCAGCGCCGGTGCACGCACACTCCTCCCGTAAAGCCGAGTCTTACCTGAAGAAAACGATCGTCTCCCACACGTAGACTCCGAGCGCGTTGACGTTGCACATTTTTCCAGTTCTCGCTGGTTTTTTTTGTACTCCGTGAGGGGTGGGCTGGTGGGGTTGGCCAATAAAGTAACCCGGCAGTTGGCAGGAAGAATTGGTAGGGGAAGCGAGTCGCCCCTCCCGGGGCAGGCTGTGCTCGGGGGAGGCCGGGCGAGCTCCGCTCAGCACCCTGGACTGTGGCAGCAAGGGACGCCCCAGTCAGCACCCTGGACAGCCCCTGGCGGGCGCCCCGATCAGGACCCTGGACAGCGGCGGTGCGCGGC